ACAAAAAACTCGTCCTGCTGCGGTAGAGCGATCAAGAAACCTCATTATTGGGTGTCCAGTAATAGGACGACCAAAACCTTCCATTYTGTGGCTGAGAAATGGCATGAAAGTCCACAATGACAGTAAACATTGGATAACGGGWGGTATTCTCATGATTAACAGCGTTTCACCAGCAGATGCTGGAGAGTATTTCTGTTACGCAAAAAATACTGCTGGTGAAGACGGAGGTGGAATAGACTTGCATATCCGTTCCAAGATTATCGGTAAGAATGACCACGCAACGTAGTRGTGTTTATTGTGTGACAATCCTTGATATCACTTAAGCCCGACGCACACGAWAGGAAAGTGCGTAAGGGAAATKCCACRCGARTCRCWTTGARCAGCGTGTGTGCACCAAKTTTTGYTGTTCAYGGTSAGMAAAACGCTGATTAAAGCGCCTCGCGTGGCATTTCCTTTATGCACTTTCCTATCGCGTGCGTTGGGTTTTACCTCACTGATATGCTGYATTAACGTKATGATTGCTCCTTGTTTTAGGTCGTTGGCTGGGAACACCCTGGAGTGAGGTTTGTTCAATTGAATTTTATGTATTAAACTAAATTTTAACTCAATGAAAAATATAAAATATACCCATAGTGTCATTAATATGATTGATAATGCATTATGATTGTGATGATTACGATTGTTATGATAAAAGATATTATTGGACGATAACTGGTGATATCACAAGACGCAACTTATTGAACTGGTGGCGATAATGATTATAATATATGTCCTTGTTGTTATATCTAGTGCAAGAACTGCTACGAAAACTTCAAAGGTTATAAAAAACGAACAGTAAACTGTGTGGATGACAAGAGTAACATTGTCCCTGTATCGTACTGTGCTGGGTTTCCACGACCTGCCACACAACAAAAGTGTAGAGCACGKTCTTGTGAAGCTATTTGGGTAACCAAACCTTGGTCGGCGGTAAGGCGTACTGGTGCTTTATTAATATAGAAGTTCTTTTTGACCTATGTTATTTATCTTGTAGTGTTCTGCTCTGTGTGGTGGTGATGGGATCAGAACACGAGATGTTAGCTGTGTATTCTACAGAAGTCTTCTTCCTGCCAATGGTCACTGTCCAGGACAAAAACCAGACACATCACAGCCTTGTAACAGAGGACCATGTGGACTAAGTAAGTACTTCATTACATCAATTGGTGTTATTTTGATGATGATAAATTTTTTTCTACCTGAATGGATCTTCACATTAAAGTATTTCATTGATAAATCATTAATTTATCGTTAATGTTTCCAAAAACAAAAATAATCAATGGAAAAAAATCATATGCATCATTTCTTACGTAATGTTTGGTATATTTATCATTACTGCATATTTACTATTGATTATTATCTGCCAGGATTATTCTTATTATGTATATTCTTATTGTGTTATTTCTTTAGGACAATGTAAAGATATCGTTAATTATTGTCAACAAATCAAACAGCGAGGGTTATGTAGAGCCTTCAAGCAATATTGCTGCGATACTTGTGGAGGACAAGCGTCAGTAATTCAACAACAATAGTTTCAATAAACATCCACAACTTTAGCGTCAATTCGTCTTGGYCGAGCTGGTAAAAACACCCAATAAAATGCATCCCCGAGTACAGTAAAGCAGTTTCCTGAGTTGTTCTTCCTTTGGCTTGTTTTCGCAAGAGCCTCGGCCTTTGATATTTTATTATATAACATATTTATCGTTGTTTTGTTGGAAGATATTTAGGAACAATTTACTAAACACGCGGAGTATCAAGAACATCTAGATATGTACTTTATGTTGCATTGGATTGTCACGCTAGGTCTCAGACCCTTGTCATATTAATTGGACGATGCTGCCTGGTGACAAGAATATCATAAATAACTATCAATGTATTTTAAGATGTATGGTTATGCGGTCTAATTTTAATTKCAAACCTGTTAAAATTATAAGAATTTCAAATTAAATTACAATGGTCTATGCACATTTGTTGGCTTTATTTATGCATTTTTTAAAGAATTCTTATATATTACAAAATGTATTCGACTGAAGTAAAGTTAGATGACTAATTCGCTAATCTTCTGTTGGTTTCTCTTTCTTTGAACGCAGAACATTGACTACAAGAGTCTTTACATCTGTATGTCACGATCGAGTCGGCTGTATCGAGTCGAAGCTGCGTAATTCATTGATTTGTATTTTTATTTACAATGCTTTATGAATATTCTAAAATCAGAAAGAAATCTTACAAGTTCAAATAATGAAATGTAATTATAAAATAATTCCTATATATATTTACTTTCAACGTAGTGATTTCAACTCAAATCTAGAACTGTACACTTGCTTTTCATTAGATTATATCATAAAACAAACATGTTATCCTACAAGTAAAGAAGTGTCCTTGCTTGCTATCATATTCGTTGATCCGTTCGTATCGATAGCTGGAATTTCAAACACTCGGTGTCCGGCCTCATTCTCGTGATCAAATTTAAAGTTCCCTGATCCGGCGAGTAATTTATTCGAAGGACAATCGATACTTGGCCAATCGAAATCACCTTTGTAGACTGTATGATCAGACAGACGATCACTGGTCTTAAACAGCTGACTGTTGTCGCGAAACATCTTGGAAGGAACGACGTTGAATCTTTTGTACTTGTCCAGGAACTCTGATGTTTCCTGGAAACCTTTTTCTCTTGGAAATACCTCATTCTTTACCAAGGGTCCTTTGGAGAACACTTGCGGCTGCGCAGTCCAGCGAAAGCTAAGACCATAATTTGTGGTGTCGTCTAGTGCATCTTCGCGTCCAAACCTTAGCTTGGTTTTTGGTCTTGCGTTCTTGGCTGGAAGTGCCTTACGACCAAAGTTGCCGTAGTCCATGTGTGTTGTTCGACAATCGACATCTCCCTCGGGTCGTTTGTACATCTCGGGCGTTTTCTGTTTTGGAATCTTTACTTCCCAAGCTTTGTAATCGGAATCTTTAGTCGTAGAACTATCCATCCTTTTGTCCGTCGCAAACAAATCGCTGATTGGGCGGAATTTTTGCGCTTTAGGGGCGCCTCTAAAGTCTTGGAAATCTTCTTTGAATACTGACGTAGAGTTAAATGGTTTCTCTGGTGGGTTATACTCCTCCTTTTTAGTTTCTAACTTTGGTGGAATGGCTTTGGGCTGATAGTGGCTTAAATGGGTTGTCTCTCTCTCTTGTGAGCCCTCGATCTGTATTTTATCAGGCTGTCTTCCCGTGGGGCGAGGTGGTTGGTTAAACCGCATGTAATCTTGTCTATGGATTGAAGTTTCTTTAAATGGCTCTTCTGGTGGAAGATATGTATTACTGCGGCCCATTCTCATGACAGGCTCAGGTCTGTAGGTTTTATAGTCCCCATGTGAGGTCGACTTGTACTCCACCCTTGCAGAGGGCATTCTCATTGTAACCCCTTTAAGATAAGGTTCCATTTTGGCGGGAACAGCCCTGGTGCCTTTGTAGTGTTCATGGTGTTCGGATACAGTTTCAAATTTATTCGGATTAGGRACATATCTTTCAGGCTGCTTTTTAACAGGGGGTATCACTTCATAGGTCTTGAAGTCCGCTTTATGAGAGGTGTTCTGWGCAAGAGGGCCGTCGTAATGAATAAGGTCCCTAGGTTTGTTAAATGGTCCCCGTCGTGGGCTCGTCGTCAGATAGTTGCCACGATACTCAGTCACGGTACAGTTATCCTCGTGTCTCTTGTTGATGACTCTGTTGGGGTTTGACGAGCTGTGGGGACACCGGTGACGTCTGAAATGAAAGGATAAGGTTAGAAAACTTTGCATATATCATCCTTATCGCATCTTCCATGTCATCTCAAAGCAGGTCGTCTTGCATGGAAGGCTTTTCTCTTTTGAAATCTCTGGGGAACAATATGGAATGCTTTTCTCTTTTGAAATCTAAAACCCATTCAATGTTTTGTCCATTTAAGTGCATGTCCTAAATCGCATACAAAATTAACCATCACTACGGCATCTCTTGCACTTAAAACGTATATCTTCTTTTTTGCATGTAATATTTTATGTATCGCTTACACTGCTCCTAGATAAAGCAAGAGGGATCGTTATTTCATGAAACTTATTTTAAAATTTAGACACAATCAGCCGGGTCATAATCTCTATTGTCTGTAAGAAACAATAGGGGAACTTTCTTGTCCCTTTGTGCTTGGTTAACACTTGAATCCGGTGGAAGCAATTCTTTATATCAAGTAACTAAAATTTGACTGGGTTTTGTTAAAGTATCTTTGCTCTGACAATAGTATGATATGCTTGCAGTAACACTATATTCCTGCGAATATTAACAGAATAATATTAAACTTTTTGACAGGGTTTGAGTTGTGCCACGCCTCTGTTCATTTCTAATTTCCGTATCATCTTGAAGGTGCCAATTATAAACACGATCTTATTGCCACATGATGTGTTCTCTGTGATGCAACATTAAAACTTGGCGTACAGTAGATTTCTCGCTCATTCTACATCCCGAGTATGCGTGCATATACCGATAGAATATTGACATCACTCTCTAACCTCTAATCATAAAACGCCGGGATGAGTTCCGGTTAGTAATCATTCGATCGAGTGGCCGTTTTATTTTGCAGAGACCGACCTGACATCGTATCTCGCATGTACCGAAGTCAACGTTTATGTGAACAAAAATGAATATAAGGTTAAATTGGATCCTGTTTGCTGATCTACACGCAATATTTCTGATGATTTTTGTTGATTCATTTAACGTTACTTTCTTTACTAAAATGCCGGAGTTCATGGAGAACGCCGTGTAAGCAGTCATATTGAATCCATTTAGGTCTTAATTCATAACATCTGGTTGTAGAGTTATTTTAAATCAAAGTCTTTGCCGTTATTATCAGTAAAATTTGCTCATTAATGAACAAGAGGTCATGYACAGCGTGGAATCGCCGGTGAATAGCGAAACCTCCAAACTCCTTATTAAACGTCTGGTAAGACACTGAACACTAATTTCTGTTAATCAGTCATCGAATGAAAATCGGTGGAGATAAGTTCTTATTTTTTATTATGTTATTTTAAGCACACGAGTAGAGTATATAGGGTAGGGTCCATCATTAAAGTAGACTTGGACTTGAACTGGGAAGTTTAAATAAATAGATGAGAATAATAATTAATTCTCTGTTACAGTTTTCTAGCAAAAATTCCTACTTGCAAGGAATAGGTTGGGAACTTGAGAGTTCAGATATTTCGATACCATTAAGTTACAATGGGGCGTTCTGACGGGTACGAGTAAATCTGACCACGCCCTTACCCCTAGTTTTAATTGAAACAATTTGGTAGAATTAGCATCGTGTGCGTCATACGCCTCTGTCATTTAATATAATCCTGTTTTGTTAATTGGAATTTAATTGGTCATGAGATTGTCTTTTGTGCTTTGAAAATAAACACGTAAAAACTGGTCGAATATACTTGATAAATGAGCTCTGAAAATCGTCTTGAATTCAACATTTGTGTTTCTTGTTATGTTCACCGRTGAATGATCGACTTTGGAGCTACCTTTTTGAATTACATCGATGAAAAACATAGAACAGGCTTGACTGGAATTATTAATTAAAACAATACATTCTGTTTAATCAGTCTTACATAAAAACCAACAGTGTCGTAAAACAGAAGAAAATAGCAGAAAAATATTACAATAATATTAACTTACTTTACCGAATAAGAATGAGTCATTTTCTTTAAAAATTTACAGACATATAGTTCAGAATTTTGATAAATATATATCATAAAATGACTACGACTTGTTTTCTTATTTTACTATATTTAATTGCCTAATATAATATCGCAGTTCAAACGTTAACTGGTTGTGATTATTTGTACTAATTGCTCTAAATATTGCAAAACCGGGTTTAAAAAACTAATAGCGAGTAATTCGGCTTAGGCACTCGGCATTTTTTGTTTCTCGATTTGCTGATCGGTCAGACTCAGTAGACTGGAAGACGCCTCGATTTCAACGAGGATAGAAAGCAAGACGTCTAGTCCAAGTTTATCTACATTTGCTATTCTCTGACGTAAAAAACTTCCGAAAGACAAGCCGKAGGTCAGAAAAGGAAAACATTTTGGTTTGGTTGAAGGTAATTGGTTTAATTTAGCTGATATAATGTACTTTTTGGTTWAAAAACACTTGAAAAAGATCAGTCAAAAATGGCMGTTGTTGTTGTCAAAGAGTGCATCCATGTTGTGCTTTTTTCCTTAAATATAAACAACTTAATRACAGCTTATGATTGCACGTAGACTTTGCACACAGCATTTATATCTAGCAATAAGTCAAGAGGTTATTACAATATTTGAATTGATGTTTTCATTGAAGAAGACATGCAATGTTCGTTGATGTTGATCGGTGSTCGTACATTGTCAGACGAGTCTTTCTGGAGGATTCGCTGTCAAAAACAAATTGATTTGACTTCCTTTGTAACCGAAAACATATCACTGACAAGGGTATTCGGTTCTTCAGCTATCTCAAGATTTCAAGCAGTGATTAAACATTAATTTACAGAAAAAATAAAATCAAAAAAACGGAAAATGACATTTGAGTGGTTTTAATCGAATTGCACATAATTCACCACATTTTTTGTCAGTCTTGTTCAAAACTATAGGACTCAAAAGCAGAGTTTATGGCATTTTGTTTCTTTTTCTTCAAAAACGGCTATTTTTTTTTTATTTTTTATTTTTTATTTTTTGCTATGAAACCAATATATGGATAATTCGCGTTCTTCCTTACACCTTTCCTCCACCCCATAAGGTGAAGATTTGTCAAGAACAAAGTCTGTTTTCTGATGTTTTTGTAAACCTTTTGTTTCTGTTATTTTGACCTGATGTCTTAAAAACAATTTCAGACAATTACTTGAGAGATTATTAAAAGTGAAGCACGAAGGCTGACCTGAGGTCGTTCACTATAATAACATACTAGTATCCTTCGTGGGCTGAGAAGGAGATCAGCGCGGGTAGTKTTAACTGTTCTTACATAATAAAAAAACACTAATTCAAGGTGAAAATATCCATAATATCTCAGTTCTAACAAGAGCTGAGCGTTTAATTAATAGTGCCCGGTTTATAGAGGTGATCGTAATATAGGRGTKTCCGTAATATAGAGTTCCGTGAGAAGATATTAGCCAGCCAACTTAAGGTGAACCAATGCAGTCACGAAGGAGTTAAATTYAAGTATACTAAGATATGACTTGCTCGACACGATATTAATTATGTCAATTAGCAAGTGGTTAAAGACCTTTTGACGCTCTAATTACTGAAATATATAACTCTTACATACATTARTATATGCTAGTCAAGTAAAACCATGTTTAGGTTCGGAATGAGCTGTGAATTTTTGAATGAAAGATGAAAAAAAGAAAACGTGAGCCAAATATGGAATCGCAATACCAAGTCAGARATCTAGAGAGACGAAGTGTCTGGTATCCGACTTGACACGCGACAGATACAGTGATAATTGCCGAAAGAATATTGCCTTTATATTCGGCCACAGACTGACTTGATACTTGCGGCCATTGGTTATCTGGAAGATTTCATATCGACTATGATCTAAAGGTATCAGTCAAGACCGATCGTATGCAAGTCTTTTACAAGCTTGGTATTCACTAAAACACTCTTATTAACAGTTTGATGATTTTCTTGGATTTAGGTAACGTTATAGGATTGGTATTTCAAGAAAAAGTTACCGCAGTGGTCGGAGTTATCGCCAGTTCCAGATATCGAGAAAGAAGCTTCGAAAGGCGAAGCGGCAAATCTCAAGTCTCAAAGTAAGTCGTTAACGCAGCAGCCATTGAGATATTCTGCACTAAAGCGTAAAGCACTCGTAAAGCACTCCTTTCTTGTCACTTTTGTACTAAACATATTCAATAATTATAAATAAAGACCTTAAAGTGAGCAGTATTTTTCACCAAAATGACTTAGTTAAACATCGGTAAACGTTTAGTGTTGTGGAACATTGCTTACGTAAGGTTGATARCTTGACTTGTGTAGTTTTAATGAGCTACATGGTCACTAAATTTGCTGCGTAGAATAATTGTGTTTTCTGCTTGACGCGCGTGAAGATTTCTTAAAACATAACCTGCGCATTTCTCATTTTTTTAAAAGGATTTTCCAATGCACATAGTATGTATGAGATTGCTTGTGTTTAAATTTCCATAATATAGTATGATCGTTCGTAAATCGTTCATTCCAGAACGGAGACGATAAGAGCACTTCCATCGAAGCGCGATCACTGCGCGCGAGAGCTGTGCGCTACATACTGACACGCTATAACATTAAGCTAGACAGACGTTSCAAATCGGCTCAGCCAAGAAACCATTTCAACTTTGACATTAGATTAGTAAGAATATGAGACTAGGAAACCTACCAGATAAAAACTATCTTAGAGCACCCATCTACGGGGAAGAAACCTCAGAAATAGCTATGATTTATAAGACTGTTTACATTAGTTGAGAAAAGCTGAGATTAAGGATAAAAAGAAACATTAGTTTTGATTGTTTAAGTTGTTTGATTATGACATAAGAATCGTGGAGGATATCTAAAGTTTGTTTAGATAAGTCTTGCTATAGATAGGGTATTATTTCTTCTCGATAGATGTAAACAGAGTCTTTTAAAGGATAGTTGATTTTAATTAAGGTTTATGATACAGTAAAAATTCGAGCCAAAAATAACAGCACCCTGAGATAACTTCTCTCGTATCTTATCTACACTGACTGGTAATGTAAACCAACTTTAAAATAAACAACTGTCTAATGGACTCAAAAACCACAGAAATTCGATTCTTTTATACAAAAAAAATGCACAAAGTTAATATGCTTTAAAAACTATTACACTCGACCTTTCTACCAATGAAGAACATCATACGATCGAAGACAGAAGAAAAGATTTCTGGTTAATTGCTTCTTATATATAACTACTGATTCTTAAATTTCAAGTAATATAACAGGGCTTTTTTCAATAAGTGTAGCGATAAGACGAGCCACCYCCCCTGACGTTTTTATTCCTGGGTCCAGTSATTTGAACCCCAGGGTGGGGTCAAGKAGAATGAAGGCAGAACCAAGAGATTTTAAGTGTTTTGATTAAAGTATCCGACACAGACAAAAGAGAGTTGTGCCACCCAGTACATCATAGATTTTTTTTAGTATTACTTCTAAGGAGACTTCATACACACATATATCAATGATATTTTCCCGCCAAAACGTATAGGTCGCGAATTATTTGATTGGAGGGAATTTCTAGACGGTCTGCTGATTGGCTAATCGAGAAGCCATTTCATTGCTTGGCACTGTGGCCTATAGGACATTGTCGCGCGCGCGAGTTCCAAATGCAAACAAACCTTGTATTTCTGGATTCCTTCATGGTTCAAATGTTTATATTTTGTCTTTGTGTAGCGTTCCTACTTAAAAACCTTTTTATTAAACATTTCTTTAATTTTTCAGTAAGCATGGTTTAGAGTAACTATRGTGTACAGTGTTTTCTCTACCAAAGGACCTTTAGCCTGAATCTAATAACGAAAGATAACGAAGTCATTAACGCGGTCTCTTAATATTAGTCTCTGACATACGGCAACGATTCGCTTATCGATAGGGCTGAACCCCTTGAAGGTCTGCACTCCACTYGCACCGAGTTCACTGCCGGAATAACTTGACTTTGCTCAGGTACGAACGTTATTTCACATATATGCCTATTTCAAAAAAGGT